ACTGAAGCTGTGTGAGCTCCTGCATGGTGCTTTACATTTCTCTAACTAGCGAAAGAATAAATTTAAGGGGATAATTTCTTTTATTAAGAACCTGCCACACTGAGGAACTGAGCACTTTTCACTATAAAGACATACATCTATTGAAATTTTTCTTAAATAATTCTAAAACTAGAATTTAATTATCAGCAGGCATGAGTACAATTAGCAAACATTATTTTTGGTTTTTATATCTGCGTCCAGCTGTAGACTGTTGCCATCCATGCAGTTTGTAAGTGTCAATTCTACTTTAGGTTAGTACTCTGTGAACTAGGTAATATACTTGGAGTAGAGGAAGATTTAAAAGAAAATAAAGAATGGTAGAAAGAGTCAGTATAGAATCAGCATCCAGTTAAAAACACAAAGAAAAACAGCATCATTTAGTTTGAAATAGAAAAAGTAGCTGCCAATAGCTTTAGAGCCAAATGACTACGTTCTTTTCTAGCTTTAATATTCTGGTTTTAAAGCTTATATGAAGATCAATGTTGAATGAGTCTTTAAAAAGCTTCTTTAAAAAAAAATTCAAGTTCAAATGATTTTATTAACTACTTTTAAACTAAAAAATGTAAGGGAAAGGAAAAAAAAGAGAGCCTGTCATGTGATTCTTAAAGTTCCTTATTTCAAAAATTCTAATTCAGTAACAAAATCAGAAAAAGAGTATACATATTAAACACATTCAGAATATTTAGAGCATTAAAATATTCTGGTAGATATTTAATTAAATCCATAGCTCAGGTATATGTAAAGAGAGTTATCAGAATTTAAAAGCTTAGAGTATATGTATAAATACTTTCTAAGCCAAACTTCAGTAAGAACTTTGTTCAGATTTCCTTTTATTTACTCAAACTCCTAATTTTATAATTGGCTGGTAGAAAAAAAAGAAGATTCTTGTGAAGACTTAAAGAACTGCCTACTCAACAAAGGGGACAGGATGACAGGCGGCCTTCTGAGTACTGGAAACAATGTCTGTGTTTAGAAAGTTGGTTTGGCCTAACTGGGTTGTGTACTGTACAGCATCCTATAATAGTTCTTTTTTTATTTTTGTCAGCCTTGTCCCGAAATAGCTTACATTTCTCTAATTTCTTCAGGAAGGAGGTCTCAGTAATTGTTCAGTGACAGACCATACCACCTTTCAAATTCTCTCATAAATCACCCATCATTCTCTGATAAATATCAAAAAATGCTGAAGATCTTTTAAAATAAATTCATTCCTCAGAAAGATCAGGTAGTTTAAATTCTAATTAAAATAACTATATTAAAATGCTCCCTTCTTGAAAGTCTCCTTGATGGGGCCTCCGGTGTCTCTCCACACTCACCAGTTTCCTTCCTATATACTGGTGGTTTTGGTCTCCTTCACTGGCTGTCTTGACCTTAAAGACAAGCAGTGCCACAGACCTGGACCCCCTTTTATTTATCTATGTATGCCATTTATATACTAATGACAACTAAACCTATTTTTAGCCCTGAACTCTTTTAATTTAAAAAAATTATTTTAAATCCTCACCCAAGGATATTTTTTCTGTTGCTTTTCAGCGAGAGTGGAAGGGGGAGAGAGAGAGAGGGAAAAACATCTATATGAGAGAGACACATTAACTGGCTGCCTCCTGCATGTGCCCCAACCAGGGCCGGGGACGGAGTCTGCAACTGAGGTATGTGTCCTTGGCTGAAATTGAACCCGGGACCCTTTAGTCCAAGGGCCAACACTCTAACCACTGAGCCAAACCAGCCAGGGCAGCCATGAACTTTTTAGAACCTCATACTCACATATCCATTTTCACTTTGATGTTTAACACACATCTCAACCTTAACATAAAAAAGAGCTTTTGATCTTCTACCCTTCCCCAATCTTAATAAATAGCAATATCCATTCACTCGATTGTTAAGCCAAAAGTCTCTGGAGTCACTGACTGCTTTGTCCTACGTATCTCATACAATCCATCAGCAAGTTCTCTACCTCTAAAACATCTCTCTAATACATCCACATTGCTAACATTTCCACTTCTCCCATTCTTCGAAGCCACCTCTGCTCTTACCTGATTATTTGAACAGCCTCCTAGTGAATTTCCCTGTTTCCATTCGTGTTCTACAATCAGTTCACCACACAGCAGGCAGGGCCAATCAGATCACATCACTCTTTGCTTGAAACCATCCAAAGGCTTCCCACTAAGCAGAGAATAAAACCCAAACTACCTATTGAGGTTTACAAAGCACTATGGCCCCGTCTACTTCTAATCTAATGTCTCTAAAAGCAGCACAGGAAAGAACAGGCCAAACTAAATTCAATCCTGGCTCAACCATTTACGACTCCTAAACCCTGGGCCAGTTACTTCATCACTGTAAGTTTGTTGCTATATCCATTCAACTGAGAATACTTCCAGCATGTGGGCATTATGAAGGAGGGTTTGTAATAATAAATATGAAGTGTCTGACACAGTGCTTGGCCTACAGAGGGTACTCAATAGATAGTAACTATCATTTTATAGATCAATAATAAAACCAGCCATTCATAAAAAATAACCCCCTTAATCCTCTTTACCATTTCACACAGCTGACTATTCTACGTGGTCACAGTTGTTATAACATGTACAACAATACTGTATCTGCAAAGTTTGTCTCAACATTTCCTTCACCATTTAGAGAAGAAAATCAGCTAACAAAGTGACTATTAACAATCACACGCTCACTTCATTAATATTTGAAAGTTAATTTTTACGTTGAAAGCCAAAGATTTTGAAAAATTCAAGTATACAGGCAAAAGTTAATTTGGAAATTTGAGACTTTTGACATTTTGGTTACTTTTCTTTTTTTCACTGTGAAGTGCTATATTACAAGAATGGGGTGATCACTTTGTAAGTTATATAACTGTCTAATCACTATATTATACACTTGAAATGAATATAATATTGGATGACAACTGTAATTGAAAAAATAAAATGAAAAATCACTAGAATAAAAAAGTGACCTTATTTAATTAACCCTCTTAAGAAGCTGGTATAACAAATAATAATTTTCATAAGTCTACTACAACCAGTATCTTGTTTTCATCTATCCTTTCTTAGTTATAAAACTTTAAAACAGGTAAATGTATTAAAATCTGCTCAGAAAACATAATGAAAAGGTATCTCCAACTGAAGACCTATAATGGTTTCACAGTATTTAGTAAATTTAATTTCTTCTAGATTTAAAGATTCACTGTAAGCTGGTTCTATTCGATCTACCCTTATTTCCCACAACTTAGTCATATTAATTCTTAATAGAATCTGGCCTCCTCTAAACTCCCAACCTCTGAGCTCTTGTGGTCCCCAGCTCTACTGTACTCACTCTCCTACTTTTCTGACTGGGGCCTGCTTAAGGCCAGGACTCTGGCCTACTCTGAATCGCACAATTAGTATCGCATCACAAACTGTTTTAGCTTTTATTTGAACAATCTAGCTCTTTAACAGTAGAAAATTCTACCCTGTTGATTAATTTTCTTTGCACATTTGTATAACATAAAAGATTGCTTTCACAGGCCACACATGAAAACCGATGTTAAACTTCCTCTGAACTATTTTCTGCCTGTCCCAATGAGGAAAATACCATCAGTTTTAGCCAAGGTACATGACAGGCAAATTTAATATTTGCTGACCGATTTTTAGGCTAGTCTTAGAAATAAAGTCAATTCACATATGATTTTATTAATTCAGCAACATGAAAGCTTCCTTATCACTTGAAGTCAAAATTATAAATGGGAGATTGTTTTATTTTAGTCATAATTTCTTTGAGAAAACCTTTTGAATGCAAGGAATAATGCTTGGGTTCTCAAAAGAATAAGGATTTCTAGAACATGCTTATTTGCAACTTATTTTTTCATACTTGGCTGTAAGATCAGAAGAGATTATAAAAAAATAAGTAAAAATTGTACATAATACTGAATCCCTCAAATGTTATCATGGCTGAAAATCAATATTTACAGGAATGACCCTCCAAATTTTAGGACAAATTAAATTAAACCACATCTAAGATTTATCAGTTTGTTAATGCTCTGTTTCTTCATTTAGAATTTACTTAGATTGATGACGTCCAAGAGGTATTACTCAAAACACTCAGACTTTAACTGAAGAGTGTAATATCAGGAAAGGGTAATGTCCAAACTTTTCCCTTTGAAGTATAAATTAACTTAGTGGCCAAAATAAATTTTTCTTCTTAACAAAGAGGTTTATGTTACCCATTCAAAAATCATCACTGTGAATAAATATTACTGTACAGATAATTCACAGTAAGATGAGAAACATGCTTTTCTATTCGTGTTCAGAAAGATATTTATCATGAGAAAATAACAGAGGACAAGGAAATTGACCTAGACTCATATTAACAGAAAGTATTTCTCTAATAAAAACATATTAGCTTAAATAACTTAAATTATTTAACATAGTACCCCAGTAAAACTATCTGAATTTCATGAGTCGAATCTCACAGATTCAAGGTAGTGCCAGTTTAAAAGTGTTCAGATACTAAGAAATCTGTTAACTGATATTAGGCAAGTATCCTTTTTTGCAATCTCAGTAATACCACCAGGCAGGGAAAAAGAAGAGACGAGTAAAATGACTTCCCTCTATCCACAACGGTAAATACCACCAATTTAGTGGTATAAAAAGTTTTTAGCTTAACTGAAGTCACTCTGACACTTAGGCAAACTATCAAGGGATCTTAGATCATAATAAAAAATAAAATATTTGTCATGCAAATACTAATTGACTATTTTAGATCATGATTAAAGAGGTTTAAGGAAAATAAATCTCCAATATTCGAACAGAAAAAGTCTTGTTATAAAGAAGACAATCTTCTAAAATAGAATTATAATCAAGAATTTACAGAAAACACTTGTCATGAAAGATTCAGCCAGTCATAACCGGTAATAAAGTGTTGTTACAATACAGAGGAAGGAAGAAAGAAATATGTGAAGATCAAAATTTATCACTTACCTCATGATTCAGCTCTGCTATCTGATCTTTCAGTTCCCTAATATACTGGTTAGAATCAGACTTGTTAAGCTGTCCTTGAAGCTTTCCTTCTTCTTTCTGTTTTGCGACAACACAAAGCAAAAACAAAAGACTATTTTCACAGCATGTACTCAAATATTTGAAAATATAGGACAGCATAACAGCATATCCTTTAATCGGCTAAATTCTGAAAAAATCTGTTCTCAAACTATCTCTGAAAAATAATGCATAGTAAACCTTACTGAGTATTTCTAAACAGTACTTAATGGAACTGTTTACAATAAATACAATTTACAAAATGTACCTTTGAGAGACCCTTACAAATCAATAGTTAATTGGATCTAGTAGAGAAAAAAATTACCCTAGAATTTCAAAGCCCTTCATCTAGTCATTTTGAGGGCAAATGATTTTCTGTCTATAAGAGAGTCAGTCAATGGTTAGTGGAGAAGGTAGTGAGCCTCCTACAGCTGCCCTGGGAATCTGCTTTTGCTTAGGGAACAGAGAAGGGGAGGAAAAAGGCTCTTCAAACCACTCTTAAAAGGGGAGAACAGCCCTGGGTCGCTGCTGTTCAATTGGCTCAGGCATGCGTGCTGGGAGTGCCAGATGTGGCTGCTTACAGGTGCTCCACTCCGAAGAGCTAGTTCCAGACCACGTAGGAACCATTTTTCGGGGATATGGGCTAGGAAGGGAAGGAGCCGTTTTTTTCTTATATTACCTGAAAACAAATGTGAACTTTTAAGATAAAGGGCTTTCTAGAGAGTGAAAATAGAATTGTTTTTGATATCTAAGATTATTTGTAATTAGCAAGTCATATGTGATGCTTAAAATGTTAAGAAGCTCTGATCCAGAGACTTCTACTTAAACTACTCAGTAACTCCTGAAACCAGAAAAGTACTGAGTTACTTTTAACAGTCACCAACCACTCATTTCCTTCCACGGAGACAACTACTGTTACCAGTTTTTTAGTGTAGTACACACATACTTTTATTCATACTATAGATACTGTACACACTGTTTTACATTTGCTATTATCTCTCAAGAATACAACTTGAAGATCTTTCAATATCAGTATGTGTAGAGGAGCAAGATACATTTTGATTTGGGAGAGCTTTGAAAGTCCTGTAAAAGTTATCTTAGTGCTACTTAAATATATATAGGTTGTTTGTTTTGTTTTGTTTTTTTAAAGTAAGTTTTAAAATGTGCCTTAGGTCCTGTACAATTACCATGAGAGTAATGGGTCACAGTAAAGAACATTTTCCAGTGTGGCGATACCTACTGCTATTTTTCCACTCACAGTAAGAAGGGACCTTGGACATCACTGGTTTGGTTCTCTCACTGCAGCCAAGTCTATTTACCCTCTGCTTTTTTCTTACCCACCCTCCCTAACATCCTTGGCAGAAAGAGGAACTAACTAGAACTGCTCCAGCAGAATGGGTATCTCCTCTATAGTCAGGGCACCATTCCAACACGACTGCTCTTCTGCACTAATTGTCCTTGCCACCTTGATTGAATTTGTATGTACCCTGTCTATTCCTCAAGTCCTTATATCAAGTTAGTCCTCCAAGCTAGCAATTTTCAACCTTTGTCATCTCATGGCATACATAAATTAATTACTAAAATTCTGCAGTACACCAAAAAATGTATTTTTTGCCAATTTGACATTTAAAAAAAGGTATAATTTTGATTCATTCACACTGACAGCTATTGTTGTGTTGGTTGTTGTCATTTTTTTACTTGACATCTAAGGGAAAAGAGATCAGTGCCCCTGACTAAATAGTCTGGTACTGCATGTTTTAAAATTCTTACAGCACACCAGTTGACAACTGCCGCTACAGTCTCTCCCCTTATTGCATTCTTGTTCTTTTTTGGCACCCTGCATTAAAAACCTTTTATTGGATATGGCCTGCTGAAGCAGTTTGATTTAATTAATATCTGTATAGCTGTAAAAAAACAACTATAGTTTCTACAGGCTCTCAAACTTTTCTTATATATTTAAACACATGAATATCACATATAAATCACCTAAGCAAAGATGTAATTTAACAATTACTATACTCCAAATATGCTAAGCTTCTTAAATATATATACCAAAGATACCAATGAATTTTAGCCATAAGCCTTTAAGGAAAAAAATGTATTTTGAAACTTTAATTAAAATATTAGTTTGTTGTGCAGAACCAACAGAAGAGCAGATACCAAGTCAGAGTCCTAATTAAATTATCTCAGAAGCCTTTCCTACCTGTTTTCCCCCCCCCATTTAAAGTCACTTTATTATTTGAACCAGTTTGCGTATGGGTTTCTGTCATTTGCAACCATAATAGCTAAAATATTCTGAGCACTCATCAGACATTCTCTATTGAGGTTCCCCAAATTCAGTCTGTGAGGTTCCAAATTCAGTCTGTATCTCATCCTAAGATCTTCCTTTGTTACAGACTCACTCCATCTCAATCCTGTAAATCCCAAAGTGGGAAAGGATGAGGTGAAGTAGAAGGGAATAAGTAGTGATTGAGTAAAGTGAAAAGAATATAAGAAAGAGAAAAATAATATATGGAGGGAGACTATTCATTGGTGTAAAATAAATAAAGCTATGATTTTTATAAAAGGTATTTTCCAAGTACTATATGTCGTATGAGAAATGTCAGCAGCAACTGAGTAGATGAATGGATATACTTCCAAAGGAGAATAATTTGATGAGAAATTACTCACTTGGATATATGTGTTCAGCTGTCCTTTTTGATGGTTTTTAATTTTAGTATCACATCATATTAATTCCCTTGAAATGGATGATTAAACAGAAAGTGTAATACACTAGTAGGAAGAAAGCCTTCAGGATGAGATGGAAAGGCTAGATGTTTGTGGTTTAAAATCAGACTTGGAGAAAGGTACTTTTATTTTATTTATTTATTTTTAATCCTCACCTGAGGATATTTTTTCCATTGCTTTTCAGAGAGAGTGGAAAGGGGGAGGGAGGTAGAGAGAAAGAGAGGGAGGGAGAGAAGCACTGATGTTAGACACATCAACTGGTTGCCTCCCATGGGGCTAGGGATTGAGTCTGTAACCCAGGTACATGCCCTTGGCCAAAATCAAACCTGGGACCCTTCAGTCCGCAGACCAATGCTCTAACCACTGAGCAAAAGTGGCTAGGGTGAGAAAGGTGCCTTTAAATCTGGTCCTCAATGAAGGCAAAGTACTTAAAGATTTTGGACATCCTATAGCAGTAATATCAGGTGGGATACAATAAAAATTTCAGGACAAATAAAATGACAAAGCCCAAGTAAGCTCTAACACTGTAAGATAGAAGTTCAAGAATGAAGAAATACTTCATGTTTAAAGGATATAGAATGAGTAGTAACAATTATTAATACCAATTCTTTCCTGTAGGGAAACTTGCATGAAAAAAATTTGTCAAGATAGGAACCATTAAATTTATTTTTATAAAAAGCAAACAAGTAACTCCAAAGAGCTGTTTCCTCCAGAGGTAGGCCTTAGTAAGGTTTAGCTAAAAACTTTTTTATAGCACCTTGATTTCTTTGGAGGAAAGGCAGCATTTAATAAAAAATGAGGCAGTTAAGAAGTTATACATTAAAAAATGGAGTGTTTTTAACTTAAAGGCTCCTGAAAGATACTTGTGGAAATCAAAGAAGCCCTCTTAGATTTTATGACTAAAAACCCCCAGATGTTCCTTGAATTTCCATTAATTGTAGAAAAAAGGCAGAATTTCAAAGAGAAAAACTTCATATATTTGATTAACTCCAATTATAAATAATTGTTCTTTTAAGATTTAAATTTAACTTTACAAAGCTTAATATTTGGTTTCTTCTGCAAAACTTTTACATACAAAAAGTCAGACTATGATGCGCGCGCGCGCGCACACACACACACACACACACACACACACACACACACACACAGAGGTGTGCCCCATAAATAACTTGTGAGGTACACTGGCTACAGTGAGGAAAGAGGAAGGGTGACCCCAGGACAAGACAATCACCATCCCAGCACACTTGTCACAGGTTAGCAGCATATCAGTGTGACGGACACACTGGTTGGAAAGCTCTGCATGGAGTATTCTGATTCAACAGTCCCCTTAAATGGAATATAGCTGCTACTTAAAAAACAGAAGTGAAAAGTGAGAGATGTTCTAAATGCTACTTAATAAATTAAAATGGTAAAAGTCTGGGATTTTTATGTTCTACAAATGGGCTCTCATTTAAGTATGTAAATTCAAGGTCTTTTAAGAATCCTCTTTAAATGTAAAAACTGAATAATTATATATTTGCATACCCCCAAGTATAATTAACTATTATATTCTAAGAAGTGGATATCAAGTAATTTCACTTGTGAGACAATTCATTCAATTATCTAATATTTAAGATTTTTTTGCAAGTATTTTTAAGCTTTCTATTTTCAAGCAATGTCCACATGTTCTTTCTGATAAGCAGGTGGGAAAATGTCAGCTACACTAATAAATTTACCCAGAACCTCCATTTTCTTGAGGGTTTTTTTTGGTGTGTTTTTTTTTTGTCTAGCTGATAACAATAGATTGCTACAGTTAACCGGTTTCCTAAACAAAACTATTAGGTAAGTAACAAATTTAAAGAGCTCCAACACATCAACAATTTTGGTATTCTGTAATTTCACTGAACAGACCTTAAATACGCCCTTTTGGCACACAATAAAAGAAACTTTATATTAAGAGGGCATACAGTAACATTCGAAAAAGGTTTAAATGTACATTTCATTCTTAGATCTATCTTTGAATATTTTAGCAACTACCAGTATAGTATCTATAATAATCTAATTCATATTAAAGCCTTAAACTATAGAGCTTTGTATATAAGCCTTGCATTAATCAAAAGGTGATCCACAACTCTAGTTAGTAATAATACGCAGGTTTAAGTGACGAGGGGTAAAGTATAACAAGTTTAACTTACTCTGAAATGCATCAAAAACTAATGTAGTTAGAAAAATAAGGTGAGTTTCTGATGAAGTAAAAGATAAAACACATCAAAATATGAATTTTAGAATGGAGGTGGAAAGTTTATGGTGTTTGCTGTCCAATTCTTTCAACTGCT